TAAACCCCTGAAAGAGTTATATATTACCATACTTTATTTATAAGCATGCCACGAAGGGCTCTACAAAACTTATAACAAGTGACTTAAAAGTGAGTTGAACATCTTTTAACATTCTTTAGATTTTACTTAACAACTGGAACTGCTGTTTTTCTCAGTTAAAATGAAACTTTGTGAATTAGAGTTTGGTTGAAGAGTGGTAATTGCTTCAGTTTACTTACAGTTCTACGTACTCACTGATTATCGTTTTTGTGATTTTACCCCTCCCGTAAACAAGTCTACTAAATTTCATATTAACATCTCTAATAGGAACGTACCTAGGGTATATTTGGGTAGTCATATCTTAAAAAACGAAAGAAATGCTATTTTAGCTTAAACATGTGGGAACTTGTTTGGCGCAATTCGAACTCGTTAAGTTATTCAAACGGAATGATCGCCTTTGTGAACTCAGTTATATAATACTTCAGTTTTTAATAACCATTTTAACCTATACACTTAGCTTTTAATGTTAAATCTCTCCACTTCAGTTTAAACACCAGCTCAAAAATTACGATTTAAACTAAAATTCTCTGCTCAAGCTACTTAGCTTTACATGCTAATCTCACTTTGAGTTTTTATTGTTTGCGTAAATCCAGTATTATTAGCGCTAATATTACCACCAAAAGTAAATTATTTCTCATTATTTAAGAGACATAGTATCCTCATTTTCCTAAACAAAACTGAAATAAATTCCATTTTGTTCAATGCTTTTTGTTAAATAATATTTTAAACCTTCTGTTTCTCCACCTTCTTGTTATTTGAGACAAGTTGCTTTTTCCGCTGTTGCGTTATTTGAATCTTGGGTTATTTATTCCATTATTTTTGTAACTACAACTTTACTGGACTTTTCCGGTCTGTCAATTTTTTTTTAAATTAGTATAGGTTTATAAGCGTAAAACGTTATATGATGCCACATATAATAGTCCTGCTAAAAAAATTTTACTGCTAAGTGCTTCAGTGCTTCGTTGACAACCATCGTTCAAAAGCAAAATTATTCTCGCGACAATAATTAATAGAATAACATGTAAAATATTATAAGAATTTTGTGTATATTATTAATATTATTATTAAAAAAGAAAAGTTTGTACTTTTTACTTTTTTTTGTTCAATTCGTTTAATATTTGTATAAGAATTTTTAATTTTATGGAATTTGAAGTTAAAATTTGCCATCTTTATTTATTTATATGAATTTTTTTAGATTTTATGAAAATATTATTTATATTTTTTACTATTTTTTTAATCAATTTAAAACTGTTTAATAATTAAATTAATAAAAATATTTTATATCCTCAATATCAGCAGTTTTCATTCTTTAAATAAAAAATTAAAGATTTCCGTTTAATAAAAACGTTTGTGCAGCCTACTACTGTCCATTTGAGGAGAACGTCTTTTTTGATGAGGTAAGAAATTTAACAAATCGCCAGTATTTGTTAATATATTTGAATAAATGTAAGAATAATAAAATTTTAAAATGAATTATGAATTATGAAATGGGTTAAATGAGTTCATATAATAAGGTGAGAAGGTATATCAGAACTCGACACTGTACTGATTATCTGTCCCTTTAAGTAAGTTCACCACTTTTTGGAGTGATGGAACTTGTACCAAAGCAAGCAAATATATAAAGGTATAGTAGTTCTAGCCCGATCCCGTTATAAATACTACAAAAATTCAGTCGTTTCATGAGCTCTTCTACCAGGTACCGATTAGTGTGCTTACTAAGCCGTACTTACGATAGCCAGGAGCTCGAGGTGAAAGCCTTAATAAAAGTATCGCGTCGTACAAACCCCGGCGCACACTTTATATGTATATTTTTTTTATTAATGTTATTTCCTGGTGCTCGACAGGGTAGTAAAGGAAAACACCGATTTTACGAGCTCTCATCAGGTCATAGCGTACAAGTTAGCTTTAAGCTTGTGTTAAAGCAATATTATATATATATACTTTAAAAATACTTCTACTCCTAATTCTTGTTAAAGTTAAGAGCCAATTGCGCGGTCGGCGAGAGCTTGTGCCTGCCAATAATCGATTGGCGTGCTGATTGAACCGTTAGGTGGCGGTAGCTTTGCTAGCAAACCACGGCGCCTTGTCATGAGGTGCAGCAACTTGTTTTGCCTTGCACAAAACGATAAGACAATTGCCGGTGAGTTTAGGAAGTAGACGCATATGTCATGATTAGCCGATACACAACATATACAAGGGCGCAACAAGAGTTTGCTTCGAGCACAAAGTTAAGGGTATAGAATTTGTTACGCCACCCTTACTTTGGCCGCGATATAGTTTACGTACAGCCGCCACGAGTGCTTGATCAATAATGACCCCTAGCTATTTCGCCAGAGGACGCCAAGGTATTACCTTGGTAACGAAGCAGTGCGCTTATTTGTGATAAAAAAGGTTTTGCTTTTTTTTCGCATTAAAAATAAATTTCCAACGGTAACACTAGTTGGTAAGCGTCACAAGGCAGCACCGCAGATACTGGCGCAATAATGAAGGTGACTTTGACGAGTACACCGCTTTATTATCAACATGTGAAGGTTAACAGGCTGTGGCACGTCAGCGCGCACATAAAGTGCATCCAGTAGGGGTAATAGAAGAGATCTACTATCGACTGTTAAGAGGGGCGAGCGCGTATCTCCCACACGTATATCAAAGACGCTGTCCTTAAGTCAAGATTTATTTAATTAAAAAGAACAGTAGGGGAACTACGGAGCGCAATTTGTAAAGCAAACCCTTGTGCCAAACGCGATCAAACGCTTTCTATATTGAAGACACAAATCGTCCACTCCGTCAAGCGAGGGTTTTATTGAATCGTGGGATGTCCTTGTCGAAATCCTAATTGGAACTCTCACAGGGCGTGGCTTGCGGTAGCGACGTAGTATGACCACCTCAGTCTATTTTGTAAAGGGCTTGCAGAGGCTGCTAGGCTTGTATTTGCATGGCATAGATGCTGCTCGTGGTGCCCTCGGGAGCATCACAACAGTTGCCGTCTTCCAGTGTATTGATAAGGTGCCCGAAAGCCTTCGTAGAGTTTGTGAAGCAGCATAAACGTTCTACCACCATTGGTAGTTGCTTATACAGCATATTGGTGATACCGTCAGGGTCAGGTGCATTTTGCCTCGGTAAAGCGGTATCAATCTCCGTGATTTCGATTAAGGTGGTTGGCTCAAATTGTTCCTAGGCATCAGCGAAGAATTTTGATTCACAAAGCACTTCATCTACATCTATATAAGCAGGTGGCGCACACTGATCAGCTAGGTGATCAGCAGAAAGTATCGCTTTGTCAACTTCATTAAACTGCATAAAATTGCTGTTTCGCAAGTAAATAATGGTAAACACGCTCGGTTTTTGTATTTTCTAAATAACTTTCAGGAAGACGCGACCGTTACCTTTATCTTCAGATATAGCTATTAACTTGGTCTCTTAGAATCGGTTGTGGTACGCTAACAGTTCTTTCTTAATGCTCTGCTGTAGTCTATTAAGCGCTAGTTTATCTTCGGGACGAGATGACGCCGTGGGCACTTAAATAAGGTGCCGGCGCACGGAGAATAGGCCTTCAATTCATCAAGCAAGCGGTTAGGGCGAAACTTAACTATGCGTGTTGGCGTGGCGGTGAGGTACTTCATGATCAAAGCGCCCTCGAAATCAGCAACTGCAACTTCAAGTAAGGCGGGCGTCCTGAGAAAGACAGAAGATGTCGAAAAGGTTACTTTAAGAGCCTCGGAAAATTGACTTCAGTTCGTAAAAGTTCTGGTATATGTTCTCTGTCATTTCTTTTCGTCGCCCAAATCGAGCAGAACTGCGCTCGTCGGTGTAATATTCGAGAATTTGGTCGTTGGGGTTACCGACACGGCTGTTCTAGGCGGGAGGCTTATAGTCAAGGTCCACACATACAATAACTAAGGAACAATTAATAAAAAGGGTGTCGTGATCTGAGGTAATAAGCGGCCTGCGGATCTGCAATTACGACACGGGTTTTGGTTGGTAAAGTAGAGCAAAACTACAACCGCCTCGATGCTTTCAAGGGCAGGCATAGATATCACACTATGTTGAATGTTTCGTCTGACCAAAGTAACTGCCCCTCCGCCGCCCCGAAAAACTGCAGAGATTAATGGAACGCTGGGAAGGAAAATGAGTAACACCAATAACATAGATAATTTCTTTTGCGTTGCATAATTTCCTGCAACTCTTTTTTTTTACGTAGAACGCCATCTACTTCCGGAACAGAAAATGGCAATGAAGAAGAGCTGGTGCTCTAAAAACCATTGTAAACGGATTCTAGACCGTCTCTAACATTGTTGACAGGTTTGTCGTCAATATTGAAAGCTGTGTTGGTTGCGGATGTAGAGAGGTTGTCTGAGGAGTTGTCTTTGAGGTCAACCGGCATAAGAAATTGTAGGAGTTACATATAAGGGGGTCTGTTAATGACGCGTTGGGAGGGGAGTTTGATTGGGTAGTGTAGGTCTGCACGGATAATGTTTGCAGCCACGATAGTTGGCAGTGTGCGCTTTAAAGCAATTAGCACAACTAGCAGGGCTAACTCGTGCTTGTAAGCACTGCGCAGTTTTGTGGCCCTCGCCAAATTTACGCATTTGGGAATTCGCACGGAGCATCCGTTATGATGCGCAGCAATTTGCTTTACCCCACTGGAAGCCGAGGATCTTACCGGCGTATCGTAGGCCCAAGAACCAAACGCGTTTTTGATGATTGGTCGAAAAGGCATGCACATGTGCACCTGATGGGGATGGCCCTCGGTTGAGTAACCCTCATTAGCAATATTACACAATTTTTACCTAGCGATTGGTCGCTTGGTTTTAAGGGAGGTACATGCTCGTTGTTATTGTGTTAGAACAGTACCGTCTCTTGTCTAGCTTTCTTGTGTAATGCTCAGTTTTAACATTGAAAATTCCTTGAATTTACTTCAAAGAAGAAAAGATATAAAAAAATACAGCTATTTATATAAAGCACTTGTATACTTTATCGAGTATATATAATACTTCTTGTGTACGCTTTATGGCATTGTTTTTAGGTCTATTCTACTAACAGTTCAAATAAAGATACGAATTATATATCCAAAGAGACGCTAATGCATCAAAAGTTGTCTAAGGAGTTATTAACTGAAGAAATAGAGATTAATGACGTTTCAGGTCATTGTTTAGAGAGAAACTTATAGTTAATTTTTAAAAAAATAAAATGTAAGGTGGATGCGGATCAATGTATCAAATTTATGTTGCCTCTAATAAGTTTCAGGGTAAATGATATTAACTTTTATAAATTTTTTAAATAAAATTTTATGTAGGTGTTCCTTTACTTAAGCAGCACCAATGGGTTACCGATCTATTAAAAGAAGAAATAAAGGTTTTTCGAACTGCTTTTATTATTAGAATTTAGGTTTTTATCATTTTTTAAACATGTTTATAAAAGTTCTATAATTTGCGCTTTAATATCATTTTTAATTATTTTAGGAATTGCATGGATTGCAAATTATTACTAAAGTTTTGTAGTAAGTTAATTTTATTTACGAAATTTAATTTGGAAAAAAAAAAGTTGTACTTTGCTTTTATGAGGGTTTGGAAAGGGAATAGCGTTCTTAATTTTCTTTTGTATTTCCTTATTTAATTACTTTGTAAATAAAGATTTATACTTTTTATTTTTTTATTATACTGAATTACAGTAAAAGCAACTCTAATACAAATACTATAACATTTATTACAATTTAAATCGGTAATCTGGCTTATTATATAATTTTATTTAAAATAGAAATATTTATCTTTTTCTATCGTAACTTCTCTTTTAAACTTTTTCGTATGGTTAACGAAAAACGTAAAATAATTTTTTTGATAATGTTTTTTAACAATTGAAAATTTTAGTTAAGTAATTTAATCGGTATTTATATAAAATAGGCGAGTTTCCTGTTTGAAAAAAACTTTTTTTTTTAAAAATTAAACTCTTTACTATGTAATAGTAAATCCGTTTTTATGAGTTAGTGACAGTTAACTGAATCCAGATATACTTTTTCTGCTTAAAATATAATCGATTAATTGCAAATGTTCGCTTTCTGCTACTGAAATTATTTTATTTACATAACTAGTTGAATATCTAATGTATGACGAGTAAGTTTTTTTAGTTCTAAAAAAAAGACATCTAATTGCTTTAAAATAATATGGCTTTGAAGTATTTATTAGGAATTAAATCTTTGTTTATGTCATAAGTGTCAAAACTTTACTGGTTATGATTTTTGCTTTTGAAACAGTTTTTTAATAATTACGCTACAATTAAAGACTTAAAAAAATGGATTGCGTTGGTGGTAAGTGAATCTAGTGGCCTTGAGTTTGAGTGTTACTACTCTTATTCGCTTGAACTCCTACGACTACTCCATTATTCCTTTGTATTGTATTTACTGCGTATATGACTTGTTCAGCATTGCTTTTTATTGAATAAAACATCTTACTATTTCCAACAGCTGCTACGCTTTAATAGGTAACGTTATACGAAGATGGTGATCCGTTTCCAAAAGGAATGTTATTTACAATAAAATATACAACTTTACTAATAAGAAGAAGAACAGAAAAAAATAGAATAAAGTAAAACAACAAACAGAACAAACAAAACAAAATAGCGCTCTGAAGCAAGAAGGGCACTCAAGTAATAAAGAAAAATAGGATGACTTGAAGCTAGGTTAAACTAAATAGGAATAGGTGAGCACGCGCGTTTATTCGAAGGCTAAAGGGGGTCGTTAAACACATAAGAGCTGGAGTTGGTTATTTTTCAATAGCACTGTCCACCCTGCAGTATGTATAAGCAGTAAAAAGTAACCTTTGCTTGGGGAGAACAGGGGCACGTGGTTGTAATTTTTAATTGAAGAATCCCCTGGCAAACCAATTAAGCCATTCGATTTTGACGCCCTTGAACGTAATTATAGTCGTTCTAAGCAAGGATTGTAACTTCAGTTTACCTGCATGAAGTAGCCGGGTGGCGTATTAGACGGCTACATTCTTAAGTCTACGTTAAAGGACCCGGCTTTAAAGTCTAAGGATTTCAGTTTTAGATACACATGGTGAAGAACTGGGGCTCAAGGGACGTGTTAAAAATCGCTGTCTTAAGCTATACGTCTTCCAACGGCTCTGATGTGTTGAATGAACGCCGTCATTGGATTACGCTAGAATGTTTTGATTTGGCGACGGAAAGGAAGTAATATTTAGTAATCTCCTAACAACACGCAGCCAACATAATATCTCCCGTGACACCTCAGAATAGATTTTATTAACTATTAATGGAATAGCATTAGTATTGTGCAAGAGCGTGTCTTGGTCTAGGATACTTGGTGTAGTTCTTGTTTTATATGTTAATGAAGATGGGGCTGTTTTGTCCACCCATTATGATAAAGGTATTTTGAAAACAACTCCTGTATGTACTTTTTAAAGGGTTCAATATTTGACCCCTGCGAAGTTAAGCGTAGGTAATATATAGAAATAGTTAATCCGCAACAGTTTTTTTTAATATTTTTGTGCTAGCTCTACGAGTTTAGAAGGGTAGTAACCTTTTTCTGGAGTAGCATAGGTTTAGGAAGAACAAATTGTTGTTTTATATACTAATACCTTGTTTTTTCTTCATTTAACTTGCTCGTCTAAGGCAAAAGTATAGTGTCGCAGTCGGCCTTTTTCGCTGTGCATAATATGTAGTTTACATACTTTGCCCACGTCTGTTTGCTGATTATAATCACTTGAGGATAAGTGGCCTCAGAACACCTAGGTAGCTTCGCACCCTGAAGCAACAAAATTTGTCAGGCGGTTTGGCTTTCTTCAAGTAAATTTTAATCATCCATATTACTTACCACACTTCGATCTTATCCATTAAAGTATTAAGATGTGCGCAAGATGTTTGAGATTTCGAAAGCGTGGTGGACCAAAACATTAGCAAAAAATGCTTTGCTTGTGTCTTTGATGACTGGAAGGTCTGTCAGGGGGGCCTTGCTGCACGCCTTTATTGATTTAATGTACGCTAATAGGGAATCGTTGCGATTTATTACTACTTTTCAATTTTTGAGAAAAATTTTTAGAGCTTAATCACAGCAAGCTGGCAGTTAAAAAGATAAGTCCGGCAAGACGTACGTTAATGAAGGTCTCTTCTTTGGCAAGAAATACGAAGCCCATAGCTTTTTTAAAGTTGAAGCCTTTAGTAGCTTTTTCAACTGTACATAGTATTTGTAGTGTCGTAGAACTTTTATCTCAAAAACCATACCGCTCAGGAGATTAAATAATTTTTTAAAGTACAAATTCATAGAACAGAAAACTTTTTTCATTGTTTTTCCCATTCACAACGAACTGATGGGACAATAACTCCTAATTTCAAGTAATGGGGGAGGACTTTAAAAACTCTACCACGACAATTTATTATTTTTCTAAGATAGAACTCAATGTAAAAAGTAGAGTTGATTATGCACATAATATAGTACTATACTAGCTACTTGCAAGTTTAGTAATGTGTTATTCATTTGGAATAACTCAAAAATCGCTCATAACAAATAATACTTTTCATATAGTAGTACCTTTCTAACATTTCACTAGAACAAAGTTTATTCAATTTAAGGCTTTGTTTAAAATTTTATCCCATCCAACTACCTTCCTGTTGTTAAGTTCTTTTATGTTTTAATTTCTTTAATTGTGACGGACTTAGGGTGCATAGCTCCTCTTTTCTTAATTACTCCTCGACATAATATTATATAGGTCATTTTCGTTTTATGCGAGTACAGATTTGTACAACACTGCTTAATATATAGCGAACATAGTTGCCGTTATTGTAGGTTTTGTCCTCCCAAGTAGAGTTATTAAAATCTCCTACTGCTTTGGTAAAACTTCGATTTAGTGTGAGATATCTTTTGTACTGCAGATTAAGCGGTCTATATAATTATATATTATAGCTTCATCTCTCTGCAATCAGCACTTTTACTTCGAAAAAAACATTTACTAAATTAGGTGTTTGGCGTTTTTGGGTGCAGTTGCAAAATAGTAACATAAACCAGTTAACTCCTTGTAGCACTTTTACCAATATAGGCGCTAGGAACATGTGTCCCCACCTCCAAACTTTGAATTATTTGGTTGGACTAATTTTAGTTGCGTTTTTGCGCTTAGGCTAATGCATAAGGCTTGTCACCTTAAGTAAGGGCCCAAACCTTACATAGTGGGGGGTCAAGGAAGCGACCCAGATGCTATATCCTTTTTTGTTCAGCAAAAGTAAATTTTCATTGCGCCATAGGCGAAGGCTTTATGTGCTGTGCATTTGCCGATTATGGTATATGCATCCCCTGCCTGGGCCTACGACTTATCGGCAATAACGTTCTCGCCTCAAGTGCGACAAAACAAACTGCTGCGCCTCTTAACAAACGCGTCGTGGTTTGTGCGCAATGATACATTTCACCACGAACTACGGATTGAGCAGCTGACCTCACCTAACCTTACCCATATAGTAAAGGGTCCAATTCTGTTACATTTTTTATAATAGAACGCATCTCGCACCTTGAGTTCCCTTTTTTTCTTTTACTGTATTTAGTTATTACATTTATTTCTTGAGTTCAGGGACTTGGTTATCTATTCTCGCCTTTGCACAGCCTGATTTAGTTCGCCTTAGCTATTTTCTTGTTCTAAAATCTTAGTTGCTTCTTTCTCCATACGTGCCCGAAGCACTTTTAGTTTTACTTATTTTTTTTTTTTATATTACTTATCCATAGCCCTCAAAGTGTTCAATTGTGTATGCTTACTATCTTTAGGTCCTTGACACTAGCTACATACTAAAAGAATAAACAAAAAAACCGATTGGATGCTAAGTTGGGAGCTTAAATTAAACAAAACTTTTGTACTCTTAGACGGCTAAACTTGTTTGAGAGTCACTACTGGATCGAGCCGTAGCTCAAGCCAAACTATCGTACTAGAGCATAAGCTAATATATACTACAGGCACTATTACTCAGCGGCTAGTCATATAAACTAAGGACTATGCTACTAACATAGCTCAAACTTTCAGAGCAAGCCACCGGTTCCGTGATAAGAGCTAGTGCTATTCAATCACTCATTATACGCCTTTATAACAAGTCTTCACACGCAGTTAGTGACTTGCAGGCCCATGGGGCGCTGGTGCTGGCACTATATACTACTATATGAATGTAGTTAGCTAGCAGGTCGTTTGGATCGAGCCAGTGAGGTATGGTACCTATACTGTATGCTGTAACTAGCGAACAGTGTTGGTTACTATGATATCTGACTTACCGCTTGGTGATTAGGGTCGTAATAATTATTGCTTGTTACTATAGGCTGTGGTCTATGGTTGGTATAGGTACTGTATCAGAATAGTGCTACTAGCTAGTATATAAAATGTGGCGAGCCCTGCGTTCAGGGCATTGCAATCCTCAGTAATTCTTTTTGTAGATTTCTAGCTTTTTCAACTATAAAGACATACTCATGGCTTTTCATTTAAAACACTACCGCACCACATTCTTTACTTCTACTGCATTATCCTGTTTAATGGTGCTTCAGAGCTTAAGTGCACTTATTTGAGTTTATTAGCAGGATAGTATTTAAAATATTTCGAAAGGCTAATGTAATATAAGAGTTGGTTCTCGCCATATATTAAGTACACTGTTAACTTAATTTCTGTGATATAAAATAATAAAAAATAAAGGCATTGTTATCATATTTGTTGGACTAGTGGCTTACATAAATAAAAAACACCTTCCCCCCTATTATTTATACGCACGTAACACTTAAGCTATAAAACCATAGGCTTTAAAAAATCAACTGTTTGTTGCAGGCCTGTTAAATTTAGCGAGTAAAAAATTTATTTTATAAGAATTTTAGAAGAACTTAAAATAAAAAATACAGTCTAGATTCTATAAACGTGTAAGTATCAAAAATAGATCTCGTAATCTAATTACAAGTACTGAATGAGAATACTATAGAGCTTTCTAGTTAAAAAAAAAAGTATAAAAAGAGTCTTTAAATTTACTAACCTTTAAGAGTTTATAAAATTTAAGTTTTGTGTAGATAATATCTTGGCGTGGATCCAAAATTTTTAAGTTACTTGAAATATTATATAAAGACTTATACTCTGCTTTAGTAGAATTATAACAAATAAAATTGATGTAAACACACAAATACTTATAGCTGGTTCAAAAGCAACTTAACGTTACCCGCTTAGGAAAGGCGGTTACTATTTAATTCAAGCTATCAATTAGCTTTTCAATTTTTTTTCAGGTATATTTACAATAATATGAAAGTTATTATCAGCGCTTTCCAAACTAGTAAAAATTAATAAAAATAGTTTCTTTTTTTTTTAATTTTTCTCACTTTTCTTCATGAAATTTGTTTTAAACAATCAAAGTTTTAATTGTGTAATTATTTTAATACAATTAGCAACTACAAATAATTAAAGTAAAGCGAATAAGATTTCTTATTTTCTGAATATACTGGCTGTAGTTAATAAATAAGTTTTTTAAAAAGAAACCAATATACTTTAACTTAAATTTACTTATTAAGTCACTTTTTATTCTTTGCTATAACCCAAGAAAACTAAAGCATAAATAATTTTGTATCTTCTATAAAATCCAAAACAAATAACGAAGGTTAAGTTAAAATAAAACATATGAAATATAATATAACAAGTTAAGAGGTAAAGTTAAGGTTTAATTATAAAAACTTTTAATAGTCACTCAGAAGTGATATTTTAAAGAACATATAAATTGTCTTTTCAATAAAATTAATACATATAAAGTAAGGTGCTTTAAGGTACATTTTGGTTAATAAGTTTTCCGAAAATATCTTATAAGCATAAACTTTCAAATTGATTCGAAATCTAAAAATAAAGTATTATTATTACTAAATTTAAAATTAACTTGATATTACTCTCTTTTGCCAATAAATTTTCTTCAAGTTTAACTTCTCCCAACTTAAATGAACTTTTCGATGATTTTAAAAGTGGAGTGGTCTGCACCAAAAAAATAATTTAAACAAAGTAATTTAAGTGAGTCATTTTAATTTTTCTTTCTAAGAATGATACTTGAAGAGACTCATGAGGTTCACTTAAAAGAAATTCGAAAAAATCCAATTGCGACTCATCTCCGCTTTGAAGGCTATTACAGGCTACTGAATGCTAAAATCACAAGATTTATAAAAATAAATATTGCTAAACCATTAAACAAGGCAAAAATAATAGGAATAACTATATAATACTATAATTAACAAACTGTTGAACTCGAAAAATTTAAAAAGTGAACAGAACGGGTGACGTCAAAGGCCTCATCCTTCAATATAAATACAAATCATAAAGTTGTGGTAGTTGTGAATGTGCTGCGCTTACGGATATAATGAACACGTGGTCACCGTCAATCGAATTTAGCTCACAGTCAAAATTTTTATTCTTCGGTATAATGATAGAAAAATCAAGAAGTAGTGAAGCCAAAGAAACTGCGGAAATCCTTGAAGTATGACCATTTTCGACCTTGTAGTTCTCAGCGACAAACTTTTCCTATATTTAAATTATTATATACTTTAACGCCAGCAAAGATGTGGTTAAGCTGTGGTATAGTACCACAACATCTACAATTTTTCTCCCTTTGAAAGTTGGAACTAACTTTAACATTCTAAATATATACAATAAATTTTATTTAAGTTTTTAATGATGCCAAAAGAAAGTTACCCGTGCCATTTACCTGGAAATTGGAGAAGGTCGAAGCTTTTTTTTTAATGTGCTGATAAGGCTTTTAAGCTTTGTAAAATAATCAATACTTAGTTATATAAATAAATAAAAATTAACAACACCAATTCAATGGATGGAAAGTTTTGCTCTTGACAAGTAGTTTTCATCGTGAATGAATATTTAAAGTATCAAGGAAAAAACACATAAGTGAAGCGCTTAGGAGTTTAAAAGTTAAAAAAAAGTTTTATTAGCTTAAATTAGTACTTCAAAACAATTCCGATTTAGGTTAACAAATGCTTACTATAAATTCTGCGCAACACCGAAACCAATTGTTACTTAAAATTTTAAAAAAAATAGTTTTACCAGATTAGCTAGTGTCATTCTCTTTAGATTTTGCATTATTAAAATAATGTTTTTATGAGACGATATTAAGTTTGATAAATAGTTATAGTTAATAAGTCGTTTAATTAATAATAAAAAAGTTAGGATACTTGGGCAACCTTTTGTAAAACTAAACAATAACAAAGTTTATCTGAAACTGTCATAAAATATATATTATTCTGTAAAATTCCATCTAATTAGTAATAAGACCATTGATAAGATAAGGCGCTATTCCCTTACGAGTTTTTTATGTAAATAATTTATACAAAAGTAACAAAGTCTTTCTAGATTGGAAAAATAGTACCTTGCAGTAAGCACGCAATTTGGCGTGCTAGTAAACAAAAAGCTTTATTGTTCATGTGGATACTTAAGGTTAAAAAAGGTTTAACAATTACACGCATTTTTTCATTGTAAAAAACGCATTTAGGAAATAAAGTAATAAATAAGAAGTCAGTTTGAAAAACTTCATATCTTTGCTAAGACTTAGAAGTAAAACAGGTCTTGGCGTCTTTTTCTAATATTACTTGCACTAAAAGTTCAAGGTTGATAAAATTCGTAATTCACTTGTGTTTTTTCTTATTAGCTAAATTATTTCTTGAGCTTGGCTGAAAGTTATATATACACCAACTCTGTAAAAAAATTATGCGGTGTTCATTTATTTATTTACTAAGAACACACTAACTTGTAACTATTTAATAGGCACAAACAATATAAAAACGTACACTTTATTATTTTGAAAAAAATAAACTTAGTTTTTAGCTTACAATATTGTGCCAATTAGTAGCAATATGAAGTTGGAACTAATAAATTTAACTTTCGTTTTTTACTTAGGGTGCTGAAAAAATTTAATGTTTATAAAAGTTTGTTATAGTAACCAGTAATGAATAACATAATTGGCTGGTCGTCCGTAGGGTCCCTATGATGAATTTATAAATCCGAAAATAATATCTACAGATTATATTTTACGATAAGACAAGATAAAAATATCATTTTAAATCTATACAAATTCATAGATTCTGAGTTATTATTAAGTTAGTTATACTTTACACAGATATAGTGATTTATGAAATCCTGAATTTTCCAGAAGAATTTTTTTGGTTAAGGCCATAAAATCAAGTTTGCATTGCTTCATTTAAGCTACTTTCGGCCGTGGTCCTTAACGGCTTAATTAACAAGTCTACTTTAAAAGCAGGTCTTCTTATAGCATTAGTTATATCACTTTTGTATGGAGTAATTACGATTTTAAGGAGGGTTAAGGTTATACAAAAAAATTGTACAGCATTTAAATATGTTGCTCTTTTCTTTTTAAAAATAATCTTTATTAATCCTAAACGTTTCATGAGAACAAAACTAATTATTTTTTATTACCCGCAAGGTGCCTCCTTTTAGCTTATAATTTTCTTTGGTAAAATAAAAGAAGCTTTACGTATGTTTCCATTTGAAAAAATTATCGCACACTCCTCTGAATATAATAAACATGTCACAGTAGAGTGGTCAGCATAACATAACTGAGATATCAAGCCTTTATACTTTTATTGGAGATTCATAATATGAGAAAGCAAAATTTAGAACAAACAGGAGACTTCAAAGATAGCTTAGTCTTTAAATTTTTTTATTAACAGTAAATCTAGCGAAAGATAGTGAGAATATAGCTAATTTTTTGCTATTGATAAAAGAAACTAATTTTAGCAATTTTATTAGCTAAGTAAAAAACTGATAAACACACTCTTTCTGCTAATATTATCTCCACTTTAGTTTTTTACAAAGAAATAAGAAAATATTTTTGTATGGCGTAAAACTAAACTATTAATTACTATTTATGGGCATGATTTTCCCGATCAATTTAGCGATAAAAAAAATTTAAACATTTGTAACTTTTAACAGTTTTCGACTTTTTTACTTTAAAAATGAGTGAAGCTGAAGATCATATAATGAATATATTAGATAGGTGGCAGGTTTTTATATACTAAGTAAAAAAATATTTTTAAACAAAAATTATTATTGCGGACGATATCAATTTTTATTAACCTTACTACGTTAAACGCATTTTTTTACAGGGAACAAAAATAAGTTGTTGTAAAGAACTAGAGGATACGGCTTTGAAAATTTTTTTTCTTGATAGGGAACAATTAAGGTTAGAAATATTATAAGAACCTATATAGAGCGAGATGTTTGCTAAAAATTTCGTGCTAAAAATTTCGTGCAAATTGACTCAATGAATTCTAAAAGTATTATTCTTTAGCAATTTTAACTTCAGCAAAGTAGAGCTAACTTTTTTTGTTTAACAGAAAGACTAATTTTTTTTTGTGTAGTTAGGTACCAAAAATTGGAACTTTGTTATAATTATAATGCTTTTCAAGTGTAACTTGAAATCTTTTAGTTTCTAAAGTTTAAGAATTAAATTACTAAATAAAGCCTTTTTATTAATTTTTTTTTTTTTTGTGAATTTTATTTTTACTTCTTTAAAAAAAAAATAGTATTTGCGATCTTTATTATTAATTTTATCTGCGGCAACAATGTTTAGTTAAGAGAGTATTCCGGTTTAAGAGGGTTGCCGTATACTTTATCAACACATTTTTTTGAAAATTTACATATTTAATTTTAAAAGCAGTACAGTTGATTCTTCTCTTTTTTTTTTTAATAATTTTCATTAAAGCAAATAAAGATTATGTTAAATATGTAATTTATTATACAAATTTTATTTTAAAGTGTAAAATATATACCTCTTATTTAATTAAGTTTAACTAAGTTTTTGCATTTGGTAAGGATTCCTTTTATTTATTTTTTTTACTTTAAAAATTAATTTTCTAATTATCTTTTATTAAAGATGTCTTCTACCAAGAATCAGTGAAACTATGATTATTAATATATTGGAACACCTTTATAACGATCTGGTTGAAATAGAGATTTGCAATAATCAAAAAGAGACCCTGCAAAAACTTTTTATATTCGTAGGAAAAATGCATTCAGCTGCTTTAAGAATTTTGCCTTCTTTAGTATAACCTTTTAAAAAAAAATTTTTTTGCATTAAAATATAATATATATATACATTTTAAAAAAAAAAGTACAAAAAGGCCATTATTATACCTTATATTAAGATATCTATTAAATTTTCACTGCAAATTTACTTTAATTAAGTAATCTATAATTATTAAAAATATAAAGTTTCTTTTATAAGCAGTTTACTTGGTTTTTTACGAAATTTATAATTATTTTACAGCATTTAAGTTCTTGTAATGAATGCAACGCTTCACACTTAAAAAAAATCAAAAAACTGTTAATATTTCAATTGTCTAGTTTTACTGAATTTATTGCCTCATCCAAATTTTTTTCAATTGAGTTTAACTGTTCAACGGCTCCTCCAAAAACAAAGTTCGGTTTTTGTTACACTTTTTCAATATTTTTTTTAATTATAATTATAATTTAAGAACGAGTTCATCTGAAGTCACGGAAGCTTCTTTGGAGCATGTGATCCAGCACTTGTCTTTATACGCTCACAGCGACATAACAAGCATTCATATTAACGCTTTTGGCGCGCTTCTTTGTGGTCTGTTGTCCACTATTACTTCTCTTCAGAGCCAATCACCATCTTTCCGTCGCCTCGGACGCCGAAGTTATAGAAAACTTATTGGTGCTTTAGAGCATTTAACAGGGGAGCAGTGCTCTGCGCAGTGTCACTGGCAGAACGAATGGGATCCCCGATTGCTTCTTGTATCGATAATCGCCGTCCCGTATAGCAGCAACACTGAAGAGGAGAAACTCTTATTGGTTAAAACACTTGTAAATACGTATAAAGCGCTTAGAGAAGAAAAACGCCCCGTGCACGTGTCATCACGTGTCACAAGGAGAATATTAAAATTATGTACACATGATGTCTCCTTTGTTACTGCGTTTGTCGAACACAATTTATTGAAAGAGATGCGGGTTGTATATGGTTCTGTTAATAAAAATTCAGAGGCTTACGTGGAGCTGTTGGTCTGTTTTGTTTTTGCAGGAAAAACACTTTGCCAGTGTAATACCGGAAAAAGTAACAATAGTAATAACAGTCCTTCAAAGTTTAACTTAAAAACGCTTCCGTCGCATTTAGCGTGGAGTGATTATTCTGTATACTCATTGGGTGAACTGCTCAACGTTTATAGTGAAAGTCAGTCTATAATTACTAAGTGCCATGTGGTGGATCTCCTCGCGGTTAAATTCCTAGAGGATCCGTTGTGCTTTTGGTCTCTCCGCGCCAAAGTTAACATTGCTATAACTGAATTTTTGTTTGCAGACTTTCCTTTATTTACTTATCAGTTGAAAAAACACTCTTTAAATTTTTTGGAAAAGCTATGCATCAGTCGCGGCTTACTGTTTAACAAAAGATATTTTAAAACTACTTTACATACGAAAAACAGCTCAGAAAACCTTGTATCCGCCGAGTTTTCTTTACAAGCGGAATTTAGGATGGTCGCTGCTTGGCTGAGGGAGACTACACTAACCTCTGCAGAGTGTATTATTCTTTTAGCCGCCATACTCAGAATGGCGGATACCCACCAGGTCACTATCAAGGAATTACTAAGCGCTGGTGTCTTTTATATTCTCTTTGCAAGGTAGTGAGTCTCACTCGCTATGCGTTTGCTTCTTATGTGATACTTCCTTAGGTTTTATCGGCCGCCAGAAAAAATTTCGGTGTGTGACAATCATGTGCTCCCTGAGGATATTAGTGACAGTATAGATGTCGTTAACTTTGACTTGATCGTCTCGCCATATATCCCTAAGCAAACTCGGCATGTAGATATACGCATTCTATTAGTTGCAATGAGCTCTTGCTTTGTTACCTACTTTCTATCTTCTGGTAACTTATAAATTAATAATGCTTCCAGTTATTGTTTTTATCCAACAAAAGGAATTGAACTCTGTCAGGAAGTTTTCTTGGCTAACAATGGATTAGCAATTACTAAAAAGTTGTCTAGCCAGAGAGTAATTTACCCATCTGGTCTCACTGTCCTCTGCTTACTAAGCGAGCACGACCTAAGAAGAACGGTTTTAGAGCAGCTATTTACAATTTCTTGCTTGGAAACGACAGGTACTAAGCAGCTCATCTATAATTATAAAAATGTTAACACCTTTTGTCTTCTTTAAGATATAAAAGAATTAATCGATTGGTATATGCGAGTCTTTAATACTCTGCTTGACATAATTTCTCGCTCGAGCCAATCGTTAAAAGACTTTATCAAAATTAAGTGTGTTATTTGGATTCACGAGCAACTTAAAGCTGCACCCGCTTTGTTTTATGTCTTTTCGGTCTACTTTTATACTTATTGACTGTTTTTATTTCAAAGAAAGTTTTTATAATTGTTTAGAAAAGTTCGGGAAAAGACCGCCTCTATTACTTTATATTTAAGAATTGCGTGGAACTTTTACTTTTTATAAAGTTTTTAATAAAAACCTTACAACTCGTTACCTACATACTACTATAAATATATTATCACCAGCACTAATGACGAAATATGCTCTGTTAACCCTATTACTGTTGAGGAATACATCAAAAGCACTGAACTATTGAATTCTAAATATACCGAAGACGTGTTTGATTTGTTAATCAAACTTAGCATTAATATAAATCTTCCTTTTGCGAGAGAAGCTCAAGCTTTAGTATGCCTCGTTATAACTTTCATATCACTATATATTTTTAGAAGTATAATCAATTACTTAATCATTAATGAGGATTTACGTTCTGCTTTGCACTTATACCCAAAACTGGAACTCTGGTGTGAGAAAAAGCTTTATAAGAAACACACCTTTTTTATTCACTGCATGCAAGATAAGAAAGCTTATAATTCCTTCCTGAACTATATGAAGGATTTAAGTAGTGACGTGAACTTTGGAACTGCAAGTTGATTTTTTTAATTTATTATTTTGTTATATTATTTTTTTGTTGTTATTATTGTAGCTGCTGAAATTTTTCGCGGCGTAGATTTGCTTGTACGTGCTAATCAAATTAAAGAGGTTTTAAACGTGGCAAGAGTCTTTACAAGGAGTTTGTCCTTCTTTTATTGTTCAAGAGCTTCTGTTAACGACCGATTTAGGCAGGACTATATCCAATCGATACTTCCAACTATTCAAGGATTGTTATGAGGACATTTTAAACTTTATGAGTCAAAACAGAAAGTTTGAAGTAAACTTCTTCAAAACAATTTCACAGCAACTGAAAGAGTATGTCCTGACTGATTTAAAACTTTGTTATTACTATAGCTCTACTTGTATGCAATTTTCCATTTTATTTATTATTACTATTACTATTATTTTTATTATCAGAGAGAGGAAGCACAAAAAAGTTGAAACACTTATTGTTAACATTCTGACTTCTTTTTACGAACACCATATTGAACCATTTTTTGTGGAATTCATTAATTTTTCGCAAGCACGCAATAAATTGGATTTTGTTAATCTATTTATACCTTTTACTATGACTTACACCGCACGTGTTTACAGTTCTTCATTATTTTTACTTATTGTTCGACTTATCGGGAGTCTCTTTGCACGGAAGGTTCTTTAAATTTTGCAGAAACATTTAAGTGCCCACCACACGTGCATTTTTCTTCTAACAGCAGTGCGAAGAAACTTTATGCACTTATATTTTTGGCATTTTGGCGTTTATTTTTGAGGTTTTTTAAGTTTATTTGGTTGTTTTTTCTCTGTGTACTCTTTTTAATATATTTTTTGGTATATAAAAGGAACTTGAAAGAAGGAACGGAGACACCTTTGAAAGCCGGAAGCTGTTGTGTGACGCTGGAGCTCTAGACGTGTTGCTTAAGTTTTTGAGTGATGAAGAGAATAAACTTTCTTCATACACAGTCATTCAAGTTTTGAAAATTATTCAAGTTGCTTTATAATAATTCCTATCATTCTGGTGCTATAGTAGCTTTATTATCACCATATTAGCTTTTGGGCAGCTTTAACATTAACTCCACCCAAACAACGCAACTCCTTAGTTTATCTCAAGGCCCTCACAAAAAGGCCATATATGCTTCTCTCTTGAATATTTTGCGAGGAGTCGAACTTCTTCCTCCTTTTGGTTTTACTCTTTTTCATAATCGGAAAAAGCGCGAGCCCAATGATCAACTTATAATCGAGTCAAGCTATATAATTGGTCGGGCATGCATGTATTGTAGGGTTATAATAATTAAATATTTGCTGATTACAATTGCTAGAGGACTTTAATTGGCCTATTAATGGATTTTCCTTATCGTTCTGGATGTGCGTTTTGAGCGTTCCAGTTCACGAGTTATTACTGGTTTCTTACGGAGATGCAGCGACTAAGGCTTCGTATAAGTATTCATGATAATAGAAAGTAAGTAATAACCGTTTATATTAGATAGTCATCTCATTGGTGAAAATGCACGTGAGTTATTCTATCGGCACCGATCGCGTGGTGTTCTCCAGCTTTCCATTAAAGCCGCGTGTGTGGCACCACTTATCACTTTCTCAAAGCTCAACGAGTAGGACCAATACTTTAACAGTATTTCGACCTATAACATGCCAAGTTTGCGTGATTAGTGAAGTTTTATTGGCAGGTGAGTATTTACTTGGATGGGTTTCTTTGTGACGAGGCTGAACTTCCTTACTTCTTATTGAGGGATGGCGCTTTTTGTGGTCTCAACATGAACTCGTAGGTATTTTAAAAAAAAATTTACTTGATAAATTGCTTTATTTTTAATTTAAATTGGTAGTCGTTCCGAGCCACACAATTGGATGATTGGAGACGTTTCTTTTTTATCCGGCCATTTGAACCGAGAGAAAGTTTATATTTTCTGCATTCGAATATTTCCCCCTTGAGTGTGTAAAACGCAGGCTTTCTTGCTTTATGCTTTTGGTTGTATGGCACAAGTTTCTGAAAAGGCTGTCGAGTATAAACTTGCTGATATTGTGCGTCCCAGTGTAAGATTTGCTAGAAATCTTAATAATTATAACAAATATAATAATAATAAAAAATAATAAAATAATAAAAGGCCATGAAGCATCCTGACTTTTTTTCAATGTTTCAAAATTATGATAATCAGAACAACTTTAAACAAGTTTGCAAAACAATAAAAAGCCTTTCCAATCAAGTACTTTGATATTATTATTATTATTATTATTATTATTATTATTATTATTATTATTATTATTATTATTATTATTATTATATTATTATTATTAATATTATTATTATTAAAGTTGTTTCTGGTTTACGATGCTTCGAGTGGTTATTTAAAAAATATCTTCAATGATAAGAGCGAAACTTCTATTGGAGGAAAAAGTGCAAGGGCACTCAAACTTCAAAATTCCTGTAACTTTTCTCTATTGGACACAATTTTATTATGATACTTGAAATAAATAAATAATTATAATTTTTATAATCTTTATAAAACTTAAATAAGCCGCCACCCCGTTGGCCCTTACTTTCCCCCGCGCCTTTCCAGTGGATGTTTTCATTAACTCTGGCTCATTATTTTTTCTGATGTTAAAAATGTACGCGTCCAATATTTGTACCTCTTTAGTTTTATTATTATTATAAATTTTGTAATTTCATTTTTTTTAATGGTCTTCAGTAAATTCAAATTTTATTTAGGATTCATTACAACCAATCACGTGAAACGGGACATCTCAACTCTCAACTTTTCCCAAATAAGTAAATCTTCATCTTTTATTATTATTATTATTATTATTATTATTATTATTATTATTATTATTATTATTATTATTATTATTATTATTATTATTATTATTATTATTATTATTATTATTATTATTATTATTATTATTATTATTATTGGATTAGCTGCCTCACAGAATATTTTGAAATTCTCTTTTTCTGTCTCATTCGATCCGGTAACTTTTTTTCATTCCAAAAACTGAACGGTTACTCGTTGGTATTTATATATATACTACCGTCGCTCTGTCGTTAATTAATATTTACCGCCAAATTACACCAGGCAGGATATAATATTGGCCGGCTTTCTCAAGAAGTTGGGCAGGACTTAAGTTTAGTTTTACTTAGACATGCCTTTTGTTTTTCACAAGAACTCGGTTTCATTTTTTTAAAGAAATATTTATTCACCTATTAACCAATAAAAAAAGTTCTAAATGACCAGTTGGATTTACTACTTTCTACTTGTGTGGTTAAAAATAAGGAAGTTTTAAAAATCCTCTTTGCCTATACGACTTGGCTCCGCTTATATACGGGTATCCTAATAAATAATAAGAAATAATAAGTTATAATAAATAATAATTATAAAATAATTGAAGACTCAAAACTTCTTTTGGCTAAAACTTTAAAAGCGGCCGTTAATCAAAGGAATGTGTACAGTTACTTTAATTTGGCACAATTTAAGAAGGTTTGTCGGGGTGTCTTTTTTCCATATTTTTTGATGATGATTCTTAATATGAACTTGTGTGGAGCCTTTTTCTTTGCTAATAAAAAAGGTTGCGGCATTTTCTCGTTTGTTGGTGATTTTTCAAGAAGTCGAGTTTTCTACTGACGAATGCGTCGAACTTCTTGCTTTTGTTCTTTCTGAATTGAGCCTTTTTAACCCCAACATTCACAAGGCACTCCAACTTTTTTTTTTATGAATTTTTATTGCCAACTAGCGGGTTTTTTTTATTAGCTAAACCAAATTTTTTGGCTTTTACTGAATAATTCCAACTCTACTTGCTTTGCTGTTCGTTTGAAGGTACATATTATTATTATTATTATTATTATTATTATTATTATTATTATTATTATTATTATTATTATTATTATTATTATTATTATTACTATTATTACTATTATTACTATTATTATTTATTATTATTATTATTATTATATTAAGCTACTTGAAACTCTTGCGCTCATCCTTCAACGCTTCCCCAATGCTGCTCTTCTATCCGTTTATTTATAAAATTTATATTTTTATATAAAAAATATTTATATTTTTTTTTATTTTTTTTAAGTTTATTAAGTGAACTTAAGAATTTAATATATATTATTATTTATATTTATTAGAAGAAATTTTTATTTTTAAAGAATATTTTTCGTAATTTATTTAAGAAAAGTGATGAAAAAAAACTTTTTTTAAAGATTTTAAAGTGTAATAGTTTTTTGTTAATTTGGTTATTTTTTTTATTTTACGAAACTTCTAGTAATCAAAAAAGTTTTATTAATAATTAAATAACTTTTTTTGATAAAAAAGAACAAAAACTCCATGTTTACTCCCGACAACATATTGGTCCTTTTTGCAAGCTTTGGGCATCCGAATTCAGTTTATTCGTTGCTAAAAATTCTTCAGTATCTTTTTAGTGAGTTCTATGTTGGCATTTTTTATGCTTTACAACTTTTATTAGGGAAAAAACTTTTATTCCGCAAAAGTTTATATATAAGAAGTATTCTCTTTTTTTTCTTTATATAAACAGCAACAAAGTAATATTTTGATACTATTAGTATTTGGTATGTACAATTTTTTTTACCAATAAATTTGTGCAAAATGTAATGTAATGGTAGGAATTAATTATTTTCTCACAATATAAATAAAAACAGGCAGTATTTTATTAATAACGCACGTCATTATTAACATTTATATAAAGATAATTGTCCTAAAGAAACATTTGCTGATAAAATACGCCATCCACATTTGTTCTACCGTCTCATTGCTCAGTTTCTGGTCAATGGCAGCTGTGATCGCGAGAGTTATGAAGTTCTTATTGGTATTGCTTCCATGTATATAAAAGGTTGGTGGTAATTTTTTATTTTTTTTTACTTTTATTAACATTTCATTATAATTAAAATTCCTACTTTTACTTAATATTATTATTATAACATGTTAAATGTATAATATTTTTTAAATTTCTTTATATATATTTAACTAACTTTTTTTACTTGTAGAAAAACAAAACACTTTTTCGCTCAAAGACTTTTTTTCCGGATCGTCTAATAAAATCTCAAGGCCAGTGGTAGTAAGTTTTACTATTAAATTTTAAATTAATACCAAAATTACTAGTTTGTGCCAAGATATTTATAAATAATCACTGAACTAAAATGGGCATGTTTTATTTATACCGTATCAAATTTCTCTAACATAATGTATTTTTTATTTATTTGATTCTCATTAAAAGCTTTTATTCGTTTCTATTTCTTTTTTTTAATAATTTTATGAACTATTTAGGAGTGGCTATCGGTGCGCTCGTGGAAAGAAATTCCAGATAAAAATATTAGTGGTGTTTTTAGTACAGGCGTGGCTTTTCAAGTTATTCGTTTACATTAATTTTTTTTTACTTTATTAATATTTTTTAACTTTTTTATTATTAAAATTTTTTTTAGTACATAAATATAAATAAACAATAAAAAAAATTTATAATTTTTTTAAAACAGTTACTATTATTATTTTTAAATTGTGTTATGAGAAAGTATTTACTAGTAAAAAAAGTATAAAAAATAATTAACTTTATAAAAAAAAAATAACTAATAACTTTTTATAAATTCCCAGCCTTGCGCCGTACTGGCGGCAATGCATTTGATTCCTTATTTTTCCACCAATCCTCGCCTGTTTATATTTTGTGTTGAACATCTTCATTATCTTTTTATTGTTGACTACAATTTGAAGCTTAAAATGATTGACAATCAACTTATTAAGCTGCTTTGCAAGGTGGCCTCTTTATGGATTCCTTTTTTTTTTTAATTCCTTATTATTTTTTTTCTTTACTCATAAATGTTTATATTTATTATATATTTATTCTTTTACTTATTATTGTAATATTTAAATATTAAATTATCATTTACATCATTATTGTTATTTATTATAATAATTGTTGATATATTCTAGAAATTTACTTTAGATTCTTATTATTAACTTATTATTACCTTTTTTAAATTTATTTCATTATCTCTAGTAAAAATATAGTATTTTACTTATTATCATTTTATCATTATTATTAGTTATGAATATATTTTCTATATTTTTGTGTTCTTTATAATATTTTTTATTTCCACATTTTTTAACGTTCGCTTTTTTTCGTATTATATTGTTTTCTTAATAAGGTAATTGTGGTTAGCTACATATATATTACTTTTTATATATAAAATCACTATTCTTACTATCTCTGTATTTTTACTTGAATCTTTTGTTATATTTATATTTATATGATTAAGTTTTCTTATTAAATATAATAAAATATACTTATATTATAATTATTATTTATTAAATATACCTTTTTTATCATAATTTCTTTTTATATTTTTAAAATATATTTATTACTATATATAATATTTACTTCTATATGATTATTATTGTTCATTCTATTACACTATTAAATATTATTTTACTAATTAACTTTTTTTATGAAAGTAACCATTTTTAAATTAAATATTGATACTTCACTCTTTTTTATTTAGTATAATGATTTGTTAAATTATTATATATTATTATTGGATATCTTTATTTATTTTTACATATTAGTGTTCTATATTTACTTATTATTTTAAATAAAAATATATTTTATTTCTTTTATTAAATTTATATTTATATATATTTATAAGTATATATTTATATTTAAAGTAGTCTATATTAATTTATATTTTATTTATTTATTATTACTTTCATTATTTTTTTACTATTTATTATTAACTTTTTTATTAGAATTATTTTTTTATTTATTATTATTATTTAAACAGTATTTTCAAGTTTATTTATATAATATGTTTAAAAAAAAATTTTTTTTGCTCTAAAAAAAAGTTCTTTCTTTACATTTACTGAATTCTTCCTTGTAGCATTTATACTGTCACGCGATGAACCTTCCACTCAGCTCAGGTTTTTATATGTTCTGTTCACTCATTCTTTTTATAACAATTTTTTTAAAGAAGCGGAAGATACTTTGGAATGCCTCGTGGATTTTTTAAAAACTATTGGATCATTAGTTAGCCAATATAAATCTTTGTAAAATATTAAAAAAATGGGTCATTATATGAATATTGTAAAATATAAACAGAATAATAATAACGATTGTAATAATGTAGTAATAATAATAAAAGGCATGTGATACAAACTCTGGAGTATTGTTTTCTGTACTGGATGATATGCTTTTGGAATTTTACAATTTAGAATATTTATGCGATGCTAAAAACGTTATTATTTATTTATTATTTTTTACTGATTTATTTATATTATTATTATCGTTATCTTAAGCATAAAACAGCTAAAAACTTTCTCAGCGAAATCCGCAACTCTATACTTCTTTCCGTGCTAACTCACTTCACATGGTAACTCACGTATTCATTTCGTCATATGCAGCATGAGTTTTTTAACTAATAAAATAAAAGGTCACAGAGTGGAGTGGTAGGGCAAGATTTAAAGCGATTTTGTAACCGTTTTAGTCGACTTGTACAGTGGTGTTGCTCTTCCGTTTTGAGTTCTTTGCGGGGACTGGCCAGCTATAGTACTGCCCACCTGGTTTCGATTTTTTGTTGTAAATCACCGTTATTATTGAAACTTTTTTATTGAAAGATTGAACAATCGATCGTCATCGAAAAAAAGGATCTGAATGCTCAACAATTCTGTTCTTTCCGAGGCCAAAATAATAGCTTCTCTGTGGATCTTTTTCGGACGGTGCTGAAGTCAGTTCTTGTTTTTTTTGAACTCAACACTTCTTCGAACTTTCAAGTATTTTTTTGGGCCCTTTTTTATCTTTTATTTTTTTCTCTTCTTAATTTTTGTATTAATAAGGAAACTATTGTTGACTTTGTAGAGCCCATTTTTCTCTGCTTGTCTTCTAACAGCAGCGACACTTCCTTTTTAGATAACTTTATTTTTTTTGCTCTTTCTGAGCGAGAATCACTGTCTATATTGATTCCACGTATAGACGTGAGTTCATAACATTTTATGCCCTTTTACGAGTTAACCCAACAATTTTAATAAACAGATATTTAGCGCTTTAATTTACTGTTTGCATAAGCGCGCTTGTTTTGGCCAGAGAATGGGCGCCAAAGATCATGATCACGAGGCCACACCCAATGAATGCGCTAGTTGCGCTTCTCGTTATTTAATGGTTTTACTTCTGAAAACCTCGTGGGGGCTCTCTTCCAAAATATTTGATAAAAACTGCTCCTTTTTTAGTGAAGACTTCGGGAATTTTTTAAAAAAGTTTACATGACTTTTATTATTTTTTTGGTTTTTATTATAAGAACAGCCACTTTTTATATGTAAAGGGGAAGTTTATATTGTTCAGTTAACAACGAAATTGTCAAGGTATTGCCTTAAACAAATTTTTAAATTTTTTTTTTATGAATGAAAAAAGAATAAAGAAATCATTTGCACATTAAAAATTATGCCGACCGCGGAAAACTTAATTACAAACGCCAGTAAAAATGTGATGGCGGAATGCAAAGAAACAATCGCTCAAAAACTTTCAGGTTTCTATTAGCTCCGCTTTGTTTAAACATTGCACTATAATATGTTTTTAGTTTTTTTGTATTATCCAATTATGTTATTCCATATTTATATGCAGCCTATAACGAGCAAACTACCAAAAAGACACGTAAGTTGCAAGCTGAAGTAGATGCTGAGTTAAAAAGGCTTAGTGATCTACTTCAAATCCTGCAGAATGATTCCCGTGCTTTTTATACTCAATTAAAGAATGAAGTAAAAATATTAAATCTATCTAAATAGTTAATTTTAGCATCTGTTTAATAGCTGGAAGTCCAAGAATCTTCCACAGTTGCTCAAATAAAAACCTTTATGCCTCTGCATGAAGAAAATTATTGGACGGCTCGATACTCTAAGCTGACTTCTAATGGGAGATTTCCATCCATTCATGGTAGATTAAAAAGTCTACTCATCTTTTTAGTGCCGTTTTTTTTATTTATTTATAGATTTGCCTGTAAAGTTGTGCAGTTTGGAAGGTCAGCACTCTTTTTAGCACTATGATAATGTGGAACATATTTTCACTATATTTAAGGGCCTCGTAGAGAACGAAGAAAGTTTAAAGTTTATAAAAATTCCAGTGACTATTTGCAGAGTCGGAAGAGTAGTAAAGTAATTGTCAGCAACCTGTAAGCCTATTGGTTGTTTAATTTATATTCTTCATTACTTAACTGAACATCGCTATAAGTTCATCGCGTTTGAAGCGTTTGTTAAAAACTGCAGAGAGTCTAGTGAAAAAAAAATACGGATGGGACCACCTTTGTGGGATGAGCCGGGCCAATGCCATTAGGCTTTTTTTCTCCGCTGTTAAGGCCTCAATACTTTGTAAGTTTCTCTTTGCGTAGCACAAATAAGAGGAAATATAAACACTCTGCTTTGTTTAGCATTAGAAATTGGTAGCGTTTCCTTTGATTTGGATCAGTCTGTCTTTACAAACCTCAAATTGACGAGACAAAGGAGAGTCTCCAGTGATGACACCAACTGCAAGCTCACCACTCAGCGCACACGAATGAAGCGCCATTCGTCCGTTCCCGACCTATCCAAGCTTCCTAAACAGTACGCCTCCTGGGATTCTGTAACCCGCTCATTACATTTTCTGTCGCACGTACCATCCAATCATTGGTTCATCACTAAAAAGCTACAAGATATGACCGTCCAGTTTGTTATGCAAACTGGCTTCCCCGAAAAACAAAAACGAGATCCCTTTTTTATAGAAAACTTCATTGAGCTTCAGGTTTGGGGATATTAATAATAATTAATAAATAATATATTTAAACTATTAATTTTTAATATCACTATTAAAATGTAAAAGTTATATTACTTGTTTATATAGTTGTACAGTTATTTTAATGATTTTCTTAAAAACATAATCATAAATTTTATATATATGTATAGGCGAGCCATCATCTGGAGCTCCTTGACCCGCAAAAGTTTTCCTTTTTTTTTTGTTTCATAATTTTCTCGTAGATGTTTTTCAAACTTTCATTAGTCGAAAGTCTCCTGAACTCCTCCAATTAGAATCTTATCTGGAAAAGGACGAAAAATTAAAAGAAGTTTACGACTGTACTCTTTTATCGCTAAAGGGGGTCTGCTTACATATGTTGTACTTATTACGGGAACTAAATATTTATTGACTTTTAGTGGGTTTAATTACCGTCATAAATTTAATAAATAATAATAATAATAACAGTGTTGTTTGTTGTTGTTAATTTAAAAAATCGTGTTAAATTTTGTAAAATAAATATATATTGTCTATATTTCTATGAAGGCTAACACTGGCAAGTTTCTTATAGGAAGTAACTTTCTTTATTTTGTTGAAAAGTCCAAAAACTGCTCTAATAATAACAAGGTTCAAACCTTAGCAACATTTTTTTATTCATGTATATTATATATACATATGTATTATTATTATTTTAACCTCTTTATATTATATAAACTTTACCATTTGTTTATAAATTCATCGCGTTGAGCGTCATTATATTTTTTTAAGGTGAAATTTCTTTAAATATGACTATTTTGATTGGCTGTAATTTTATAATCAGTCACAGGCGTGCACTCATATATTGTAATTAGTAGCTGTTACTAAAAAATAAAGAAAGTCGAAGCACTTTCTACGCTTCGTCACTTTCTAAACATATCGAAAAACCGAAGTCGAGTTTTCTTAAGCATACAACTTTTGGGGCTTTTGAAAAAATATCTTAAAAAATAGTGAAAGAAATTATCACGTTTGGATATAAAGGACTGCTGCTTTTAAGATAGAATTTTGTTTTTTAGTGAAAGGGAGCAATTGGCAGAATAAAGAAGAAAAATTATATACTTTACCATATAAGGGAATGTTGAGAGTCGTGAGACATTACTTTAAATAAGTTGCGGTTATTATTAATGGAAGAAAAATAATCTATTGGTTTTTATAAAGTTGTTTACTTGAATATAAAGCACAAAATTTAGTATTTATTGTGAGTTTTGCTATAAATATTAAATTTTGCTTTATTATCGCTTTCATTAATAGTATCATTACTTTTATATTTTTATTATTGTAGCTTCGCCACAAAAAATGGCCTTTCAATTCTGTAAAGTTTATCCATTTGAGGCGGTAACTCTTAAACTTCTGCTAAAAAATTAAAGTTTTTTTCAAGCGCATATATTACTACAAAAAAAGTTATCTTCTTCAGCACACCGCACTCGAATTTTTTTACCACGTGCGAAAACCCAGCATGTTGGTGTTCGATACTAATGGGATACGAGACAGAGTTTTTAACTCCCTGCGAGCCATGGATCGTAGTGGCCACATTATCTTTGTGGATCAGGTTTTTCATTATTATCATTATTATCAGTATTATTATCATTACCAGTTATCATTAGTAGCAAAGTACCAATAATTTTATAAGCGCACCTTATACTAAGTCGGGCGCCTACACTTGCTTTTTCACTGCCACACACCCGGGCCTAATAAGCCTACTGTGCATGCTTTTCCGGAAACCCCTTTTAACCAATAACAGAGCGAGTTTTCATATTCTAATCACAAATCTTTTCATTGTATAATCTACTGAACGTACTAAACTCAGAGGGTCTAGTCAGGTCCATTATTAAAAATACTCGTGTTTAACAAAGAAGGTCCAGCTTGTGCGAAGTTTCTTTCTGTAATAAAAAGAGGATGTCTAAAGAAGAGCTCTTTACGGAGCTTGTAGAGGCTCTCACTACATTTTTTGTACTTTTGATATACATTCCACTTAAGTACAGTTACGCCTTAAATCGTGTTACTCATAATAAAAACGGTTATAGCGCGATTTTTCAATACCTATTTGCTCCAAAAAGGTTAATAGAGCAGATCATAGTTTCATTAAAACTTCTCTGTTTCTTGTATTTGTTTCGTTATAATAAAGTGTTTAGTTATGTTACAATCTTTTAATAAATTTGTATATTCTTTCTTTTAAAATATTGGTCAAGGACGAGCATGACGACTCTCTAGTTCCCACCTAGATGAAGGGAATGGTTATAAGTTGTTTTGTTTTCGGTTAAGTTAAAGTTCATACACTTTAAAAAGTAACTAAGCAGAGGATAGAGTAAAATAACTTTTTATATAATGCATATAGGAGCATATAAAATTTTGAAATAGGTAACGTTCTCAATTATTATAATATTATATAGTTAATGATGGAGAAAGCAATAAATACCATGTCCGAAAAATGGTCGCAGGGCAAGCTAAGCAATTTTGAGTATATTTTAAACTTAAATACCTTTGCAGGTTCTTTATATAATAAATACAAATTAATTTCATACTATTAATTTATTCGATTTATTTACGAATAATAAATTTATTGCATATGAAAATAAAGGACGTACTTACAACGATTTAACCCAGTATCCCGTCTTTCCGTGGGTTTTAAAGGATTATGAAAGTTCCACTCTCGATCTGAAGGACCCCAAGAGTAACTTATAATTATATTATAATATATTATAGTCATTATTAATATTAACAAAAGTTTATCGCGACTTCTCCAAGCCGATGGGAGCGCAGACACTAGAGCGTTTGCAGCATTTCAAAGACAAGGAACTTATAAATTAACAGTTCTATTCTTTTATATTGTTATTACTTAAAAACTACAGTATAATTCTCTTATGGAGATGAACAAGTTTGGATTTGAGTTAGCAGAAAAGCCATACTTCTACGGCTCCCATTATTCAAGTGCAGCTTCAGTGTTGTACTTTTTAGTGCGAGTACAGCCTTTTTCGGATCTCTTTCGAGACCTTCAAGGTTTTACTCTTATTATTAAACTGTTTATTTTATAATATAATTTATTATTTCTAATAAACTTAATACATTGATTAACTGACCAAATTTATAATTATAATATTCTTTTCATATATATAATTTAATTTGTTATACTTCAGTGCAATAAGTTTAATAACGTTAAATTCAACATTTTTTTCGCTGCTTTTTAGGAGGAAAGTTTGATCTTCCTGACAGAATGTTCCATTCTGTGGGGCATAGTTGGCTGGTTGTTTATTATTACTACCATTGGTATTAATATTATTTTCCTTATTCTTCAAACTTTTTCCAGATTTCTTCTGAACTATCTTCTTCCGATGTTAAAGAGCTTATTCCAGAGTTTTATTACTTACCTGATATGTTCATTAACTCGCAAAGTTTTCGTTTTGGTGAGAAGCAAAACGGCGAGGTAATAAGTGCGGTATAAGGCAGTGAATATAACGAAACATATACAAATTATAGATTGTAAATGACGTTATTCTTCCTCCGTGGGCGAAAGGAGATCCTCGTTTATTCGTTATGCTGCATCGCCAGGTGGTCACTATTAATAAATAAATAAATAAAATAGATAATAATAATAATAGTAATAGTGAAAATATAATTATAATAAAAGTAATTATACATTATAAAAGGCGCTTGAATCCGACTATGTTACTCTCCATTTACCTGAATGGCTGGACCTTATCTTTGGGTACAAGCAGCGCGGACCCTCTAGCGTGACTGCCTTAAATGTGTTCCATCCGCTGACCTACGAAGGGTATATCTCATTTTTTGCGGTTCATTACATTTATTGTAACGTTGCTGTTGGCAGAAATGCAGACTTGGACGAAATAGACGACGACATCCGCCTTGAAGCCATGCTTGCGCAGATTCGTAGTTACGGCCAAACACCAATTCAGTTGTTCTGTAAGCCTCATGTACATCCTTCCGTCTCGCGGGCGTCGCTGTGTCTAGAATCGGTGGGCGCTGGTTAGGGTTTTTTTGGGCTCCGTTCGGCGTTATTGGCTACAACTTATGTATTTAGATCCTGAAGTTTTGCTTTATTTTACGAAGAACTTTGAATGCACCAACATTACTTCTTTTGCTGTGACAGCCTCAAAGTTAATATCTCTTTCAGAAAAAAAAATATTTCTCTTTCTCGGCACAGAAGAGGTGCTCCACCTTTGTTTGGTTGCGCTCGGCAGTTTTATAACGCTAACGCTCAAAGCTTATATTGTCTTATAACGAATGGGACGGGCGGCTCCGGGTGTCCAAGTCGGTTGATAATAAAACGTTTTTATTTGCTGATTTAGAATGTCCATTTTTCAACAACGATTCAATCACGTGCTGCTCTGTTTCATTGCTGGACTCTGTTTGTCGGTTATTTGCCGGTCGAAACTTTTATAAAACTTCTGTATAAAAACTGAGGCTTAACCACCAACAGGCAGCGAGAGCGGTACTATCTACATGCTTTCGGTGCACCAGCAAAACGAAAATTTTAAAGTGACACCCTTAAGAACAACACATTCCCATTTACAGTAATTTGTACCCATGCCGTAACCCGCCACTGTTTTGCTTTTAAGTATATAAACTTATAGAAAAGTCACATGTGTCGCCACTTGTTCGAGATATGGTCTTCTTGTGTCGGCCTCCGCGGATAACACGACGTATATTTGGGATTTGGCCTCGTTGGAAGTGCGCCATGAAATAACTAGTATAGTTGCTATTTATTAAAACTTATACAACCCCCATGCATTGTTTTTAAGGCGACGACGGACAAGTGCGAACATGCTTAATAGAAAAAATGCAAGGCGACATCCTCATGCTTCAGGATAAACGTGAAGCCGATACTGGTAGGCTCGGTGCTATTTTTTTAATAGTACATTAAATGAGTGCCAAATAGGGTCTATTCTGAGTCTTTGGGATATAAACGGAAAGCTTTTATGCAAAAGAGGTACCTCAGAAGTGATCAATTGCGTGTGTTTCTCCAATGAGAAGTTCGACTTTTCCAAACTATTTGCGGGTGAGTAGCATTACTTGTCATTAACTTTCTTGTAAACTTCCTCACACCACCAACAGGGTTAAACAACGGAGAGATCCACGTGTATTCTGTGTATGATTTGTCGCGTGTATTCTGCATAGAAGCGGTACGCGCTGTTCCTGTGACGGCATTGGCGGTCAATAAGAATAACAAGTACTTAATATCCGGCGATCGAGCGGGAGACGTCAGAATTTGGGGTCCAGTAGCTTTAAATAGTGAAAGAAGCAAATTTTCAAAATGGGTGGGAATATAAATAAACCAATTTTTTTTTAATGGGTGTGAATATTAGTATCATTATTATAAAAAAAAGTTTTTAAAGTAAATAGAAAATATAATGAGTTTTCTTATAACTCAAAAGATTTTGAACTTTTTCCTACAAACTAATAAGGAGCTGAAAAAAATGATTATCTTTTTAATTCTTTTTAAATTAAGTGTTTCCATTTATACAAATTTCATAAATATTTGTACGTATAAAGTATAGAAGTCTGCTAATCTTATTGGTTCATCTCCTTCAATAAAAAAATTTATGAAACCGAAAGATTAATATAAGAAGGTAGTCCATTGGTTCATAATTTACTTAACGACGTACGTGTTTGGAACAGAATTTTCTTGCGTTTAGCTTATTGATTAATATGCATTATACTTTATTTGCAGCTAATAAATATTATTTAATATATTATTTTCATTATAATTATAATTTATATATTGATATATTTATCATAATTATTAAACACTTCGGGAAAAAAGTAAATTTATAAAGCGAGCGTAAATATATTACTGTTACTTTCTAAAAAATTCATTATATAATATGAATAGTTAATGTTCTTTATTATATTGACTTTTCTTTTTTACTTTGGACGCTCAGCAATTCAGATTCACAAAGTCTTTTGCTTTCAGAGACAGCAAGGGAGCGCTTTATTGGTGAAAAAGAGAATAATTGTAAAAATGAAATAAGTTATAATAATGAGGTTAATGACCAACTGAGTGGAACTTATCGGTTCCAGCGCCTGCCAAAAAAAGACAAATCAAAATCTCTAAAACAAAACGGCAAGAAAAATAATACCTCATCGAACACGTGTGCAGGTAGATGAAGAGCATCTACAAAAGGCGGTGGAGGCCATATGGTGTACTTGGCAGCGTGCTTGTGTAGCTCTTTGAGAACTGTGTTGCAGAGCTCAAGTAGCTAATAATAATAATGATAACACTAATAATAAGTATAATAATAATAATACATTTGGGTAATATTCTGAAATCTTCACTGTGACAGCATAAATATAACTGGCTTGCCTCTCGTCAGTGCGGTTACTAAGTGCACTCAGAAACACCTCAACGCACCTTCACGAAATATATTGAATAATAAGTAATAAAAATAATAAATTTAATGAATTATTACTTTTCTTGGACGCCCTTTTCTTCCTTTGTTATCAGAGCAATAACGAACGGAAGCAAAACTTCGGGGCGCACGGAGCCATCTTCTCGTTGCTGAGTGGATGCAACAGCGCGCAAATTAGCGACAAATTTAGGCAATAACTTCGCCGCCTTCGATAGTTAGTGATAAAAAAAATAAAAGTAATGCAAGGAAAATAATGATTATAAACAGCCCACCAACTTCTTCGCTGGGCGAGTCCTTATATGGCACCACAAAAAGTGAAGCATATGAGTAGTGTAAAGGCCGCTTCTTATAGATCAATGCTTTGTATAAACTACCAATAAACGCACTTCTTACAGCTTCACATTCGTCCTACAAGAAACAATATTGTTGCTGAGTAGTCATAGCAAGCCAATAATTTTATAAGCAAACCTTCATAAGAAAAGATAGACTAATGAGGTCCTTAAAAGAGAAGCGCTTAGCTGAGCTAGCCAATAGTTTTAGAAGACAAATACCGGCTTCCAAACGCAGGCAGCTCTGGTCACTGCCCGATGGGTGAAATAGGTAATCTTTACCTTAGAATAAAACACGTGGTGCTACCTTATCCAATCACCTGTGGTATTGAAGTAGCCTGTGCAGAGCTTTTTGAATGTTTCCTGCTCTTCCAGCTTTGATAATATTTTTAAACTGACAACCTGCAAAAGATATAATTAATAATAGTAGTAGTAATAATAATGACAATAATAAACATAAATAAAAAATAAATAAACCTTCAATTTGCACAAATCCGAACATTCCTCGAACGAGTCAAGCTTTTTAGAAGAATCGGGCTTTCAAAGTAATAATAATAATTTCAATAATAATAACGCTTCACAGAAAAAAAAATAATATTATATAAATTTTTAAAAAAATATAAATATTAAGTTTTTAATGAAAAGCAAAATACAAAATTCATAATAATTAATTACAAAAGACGTTAAAAACGAATGCAAAATTTCCTTTATTTTGTATAACTTGTCTTTAAATTCTTCAGATAAAGAAAAATACTTTAAAAGTTCGTTTAATGAAACAAGCATGAGAACATCATCGTTTTTGTGCGTTAAACTCTAACGAAATAATAGTGAATAAAAAAAATTTAAGAAAACAGAAAAAAATATAATCGTAATGAAGTACTAATAAAAATATAAAATAATAAAAGAATAATATGTAAAAAGTATAGAAGTATATCATAATAATGGTTGCTTAAAATATAATAACCACAACTAACGAATCAAATATAAGGCCTAAAGAGCTAGGCGCAATAGAATTGGCTGAAAGGATAGAATACTTTGATAGTATTGGTGAATGCTTGCCAATAAATTTGAAAATAGCCTCAAGTAAAGACCTTTACACAGAAACAATAATAATAATAGTCATAATCATAATAATAATAAGAATAATAATAATAATAATAATAATAATCATAATAATAATAATAATAATAATAATAATAATAATAATAATAATAATAATAATAATAATAATAATAATAATAATAATAATAATAATAATAATAATAATCATAATAATAATAACTGTATATCATAGTTTTTGTTTTTAAGTTCAGAGCCAATAACAGTTAAAAGTTTCATGGTAACCAATGCTATTGGTGGCAAAAGAATTAAAAATATTATAATATTAAATTTAGTAAAGTTACTATATAAGTAATAAAATAAAAGTTCTTTATAAATAATTATTAGTAACTATATTCTTCGTGGCTTTTAAAAATAGAAAACACTAGAAAATATATCTATAATAAAAGATATTATAAAAAAACATAACTTTTCGTTGAACTCTAATATATTAGTAATACTTTCTAGTAATAAACATAATAAAAAGTAAAAATATATATAAAGATATTAAAGTTTAATATTGATAATAATAAAAATAATTAAAATAATTATGAAACTTAATATTAAATTAAAAACGAAACGTACTTTTGAGTATTGCTTAGTAATAATATTCTTATAAAAGTATAAAAAGTATTTATTACTATTAAATATTTATTATTTCATTATTTTAATATTCAGTATTTACTATTTAAAATTAAGTATTATTCTTAATACATGTCATTAAAAATGATAGATTTATAATATTTGATAAAATATTTTTATATATAGTAATAAAAAAAGACCCACGACCAAAAAAAATTTAAAAAGTAATAATATCGGGCTTCTTTTACTTTTTAAAAACTATAAAAAAATTTTGGCTCAAGCAAAAATAATAATGATGATACTCAATTAAAATTCCAAAATATATATATATATTAAAAAAAAAAATTGCCAAGGAAAATAATGCTAAACTTCTAATCTCATAATAATAAGTTGGGAGATAATATAAACCAAAATAGCACAACTTTTTAGTAGAAATATTTTTAACGAAACGTACTGAGCAGGCATATATATGTAACATAAGAATAGTATTAAATTTATAAAAAAAAATTAAAAAAAAAGGAAATTATATTAAATTATTTATATAAGTAACAAAATTTACTGAAAAAAAATTATAGCCCTCTTTAGTGGTATGCAGAAAGGCCTTATTTATATATGTATTATGGGTAGCGTGTCGGGGAAAAAAGGTGGAAAACCCCGCGTTTTCATAGGATACAGCTCTTTTATAAAAGTAGTTTCCCTATATTTACAAATTTATTTATATACTTCAAAAAAAATGCTCTTCTCTGCTATATTTGTCTTGTCACCCTCTTGATAAATTCCTGTTCTAATGAGAATGGGATGTTAAGCATGTACTTTTTTTAGTGAATATTCAAGGAGCACTATTGAAATTTAGAATAATAATATAAAGAGTACAATGAATACTTCTACTCTCCAAAAAAATATAAAAATTAAACAGGTACTTATATTCCCACTCATAGCGCGCTCTGAATTTTTGGATCAATCAAAATATAGAAAAATTTTATTTGAGCTAAAAAAGGAAAAAAATTGACACTGGCCATATATTTTTCTATTTATAATTAATTTTCTTTAAATTACAGTACTGCAAAATTTTAAAATAATAGCAGAGAAAATTGTGAAGCTTTTTTTAGTTAGTAGTATAAAAAGATAACAAGAAATAAAAAAAGAATATAAAGATAATGAAAGTAAAAAAATTGTTATATATACTTAAAAATAGTGATAATGATAAACATCATAACTTTACCGCTTTGCGGTTTGCCTTCGTTTAAAGTGGATAAGTAAAACTCATAATAATCGAAAGATATGGCCGGCTCGGGGTATAATTTGGTGATGAGCTGCAATATTTTTATGAATATTACATAAAATATATAATACATCTTTAAAGTATATATAAATTTTTATCATAAAAATTTATTTTCTTTGTAGATAATTTCAATAAATCAAGAGCAATGCGGGCATAACTTAGTGACAAGCTACACTATTTTTATGAATATCAAAAGATATATTTTTCAAAAAAGTTTAAAAAAGTTTTTATTAATAAAAATTATACTTTCAGAATATGAAATACTAAAAATTCATGAGAAAAAAGAAAAAAATCAGATTTGCTATTGGATGTCTCTTAAAAAGGGCATAAATAGATGCAATTAAACGCAATAAGCCAATAAGATACAAGTACTGGACGTGCTTAATATTTTCAACATATAAAAATTCACTAAATTAAATGAAAAAAAAGATATATAAGTATATTATATAAACTTTGCTAACCAATCAATCCACTTATAATTTATGATAAGTATATTAACCCTTCAAAAAAAAGTTAAATAATAAAAGTAATACAACACTTAATAAAAAAAAATTTCTTTAGTATCACTAACGAAGATACCATTAAAACGTTGGTCAAATTCTGTTTGTCAAGTGGTGAAATAAATTCTGAAAACTTCATATCACTGGGTGTCTCAGTACCGTAGACGAAAGAGGCGAGGCGGCTGAACAAAATACCACTAATCAAAAGCTCCTTTTTACTTTTCATTATTTTTAGAAAAGCATTCATGGCTATGCTGCAGTGAATGACAATTAGTAGTAAATAATAATATTAATGAGATATACTTGTCATTCACTAAAAGAAGAAGCATGAATAAAGTTGCGGTGACTGCTTGTTCGTTATTGGATTGTTCTTCGGTAATACCAAGAAATTTACTGAGCACAGTTTCAACGATAAAGTAACTGAAAAGTTCATTATTATTATGAATATTATTTTTATTATTTTATTATAATTATTATTATTTAAGTATGTAAACCTCTCAGGTTCATCGTTTAAATAAGTGCAACGAAGTACACGGTTTGGTATCCAAAGAAACAAAGTAGCTTGAACGAGTTCTGGTAACTCAAGAACTCTAATAATAGTAATAATAATAGTAATAATAATAGTAATAATAATAATAATAATAATAATAATAATAATAATAATAATAATAATAATAATAATAATAATAATAATAATAATAATAATAATAATAATAATAATAATAATAATAATAATAATAATAATTACGTTGTAACATATTTGTGGTACAATCGTGACAAACCCTTTACGGCTTCCTTACGAACGGCGCTCTGCAAAAGATAAAAGCAGCCAATCCCTTATGGAAAAATAATAAGTGCTATTACTGGACCTTTCTATCCAATAAGCGCTTCCCCACATCTTTCAAAGTTTCTTCAGTTACAGCAAGTCGATTGTCAAAAAGCGAATCACATATGCACTGAATGGACTCGACACGAACTCGGTCGTCAGGATCAAGAAGGCGTTCTCTGAGCAGTTCTTATTGGAAATGAGCATAAATAAACGATATTAAATATATAAATAATAATAACATATGCAATAAAAAAAGCGGAAAGAAAAAAAATAGTTAATAGAATAATTTAATATTAAAAGGAAGAGAAATGTAAGAATAGTTAGAAATATTAGGAATGGCTAAAAAGTTTTCGATAAAAAAAACCGGAAATATCCGTCTTTAAAAACTCGTGACGGAGAAGCGCTTGTTTTATATTTTTGACAAGAACGAGGCGGACCCGCACGTCGACGTCTTTTGCTCTAAAAATTTAAATATAACAACAATAATAATAATAATGAATAACAAACCGATGCAGAAGGCAAGCCCAAATGTTCGGGAACTGTTTAGCCAATAAAGTGGCAGAAACCAGAGAACAGAGACATTCAGTCACTAGAATTCTTTCTTCAACGTTCTCTGCCTTTTAAAAAATATAATAAAAAAGTAAAGCTTTAATAAAAATTAAAATAATAGAAAAAGTTTATAAATCGAAAATCTCAAAGTAAATAAAATTACTTTTTCTCAAACTTTTGTATATTTGTCATATTAAAAATATATAATAGATAATATAATAAAAAATACATAATAATAAACTTAGAGAAACATTAAAGCCATAATAATAGTAGATTAAAAAATGTGTTAATATAAAAGTTATTATGACTTTTAATAATAAATAAAAAAATAAAAAGTAAATAAAAATAATATATAGAAAATAAATAAAAGTAAATTAATTAAAATATTAAAACGTAAAGTAAAGATAAGTAGTTTTACATTTATATTAACTTTTTTTCCGTTTATTATATTATTTTCAAGTAAATATTTTTATTTATTTTTATTAAATGTAAAATTAATAAACATTTTTATTTATCTTATTTATATTTATTGTACTTTTTCAAAAATATTTACAATAATATTTTTTATTTATTCTTTTTATATATATTAATGTAAAGCTAAGTAATTTATATTTATGTTTCTTTTGTTTTTTTTCATTGTATGTTTTTTTCTCATTAATATCTTTTAAAAAAAAAGATATCTATAATTCTTTTTTATTTTTCTTTTCATTACTATATTATTTTTTATTTATATATATAAATTTAAGTAAATTAAATGTTAAACATAGTAATATTCCTTTTTCAAAAATATTTTTTATTGTTTTCATTTATAAATATTCACGTAAATCAAGAAATAAATATAAAGATTTCTTACTTTTTTTTTTTTTTAAATATTTTTATAACTGTCTTTCTTTTATATAATTTTACGTAAAGTTAATAAGATGTCATTTCTCCATTATTATATATAATATTCTTTATTTATTTATTTATTAAATTTTCTTGAAAATAAAATATATTAATATTTTCTTTATTTTATTTTAAATTATTTATTTTTATTATTTTATATATTATTATTCTTTTTCTCTTATATATATTTACGTAAAGTTTACAAAGTGATATCATTATTTTAGTTTTTTTCATTCTAATATGTTTATCACTTTTTTTACATGAATATTTTTTGTATTCTTTATTTATCATTTTATTTTGTTCATTAATTTTTTTTTAGTAAATGAATTTTTTTTCCCTTTGAAAATAAATTTATGAAAAGTTATGAATATATATATATAAATAGTATTTTTTTTCTCATATAATTATAATTATTATTATACATGAAAATTTTTTATATTCTTTATTTTTCATTCATTACGTTGATTATTTTATTAAAAATGAACATTTTTTATTATTATTATGTTTATTATTTTTATATATGAATATTTTATATATTCGTTGTTTTTTTTCTTTACTTTAATTTACGTAAAGTTAATAAAAATATATTTATTTTTTTATATTCCTTAATTGTTTTATATATGAATTTTTCGTTACGTTAATAAAAATATATTTATTTTATTTAAAATTCCTCATTATGTTTATTTTTCATGCATTTGCTTTATATAAAAAGATATAGATTAATATTTTTTCCTTTTTTTTCCTATATACAATTTCTTTTTTAATAACAATTATTTTTTTTAATAAATTTACTTAAAGTTAAAAAAATTTAAAAATATTTTTTTCAGTTCAATATATCTATTATATTTTACATAAATACTTCTTTTATATTCTTTACTTGTTATCTACTTATTAAAATTTAAAGTTAGTAAGTATATTTTATATGACAGATTCTTTTTTACTTTATACTAATATTTTTTATATCCTTTATTTTTTTTTTGATAAATATTATGTTAAATATATAATAATAATAATAATAGTAAACCTGAAGGCGGGAGTGAAGCTGGTGAAGACAAGTGTCTAATATGGAAGGCGAAAGGATATAAAGTTTCGTTAAAAGGGAGAGCGCGTCTTGAAGTTTTATCAATTTTTTGTTATTGGCAAACTTTTTCATTATATACTTTGAAAAAGGTTAATGATAATAAATATAACAAAATTATTAATAATACCGAAGCAAAAATATAAATATTATTATAACTTCTTGGTATTTCCAAACTATTTATTATAAACTTAAAAAATAAATATAATAAATAATGTTTTATTTTTATTATTAATGGTAAAACACTTTATTAATATACTTTTAAAAAGCTAATATAAATTTATAAAATGTTTATATTATTAAACTTTTTTATTATACAATTTAAATAAAAAATATATCTTTAAATAAATCTTTTTTTTATGTATTATTAAAAAAATATATTTATAAAACAATAATAGTCATAAACTCTTATTAAACAGTTTAAAAAATATATAATATTTTTAAACTTTTTCGTATTTTTCAAACTTTTCATTGTACAGTTGTTGTAATTATTAAAAAAGTAAATATAAATTCATTACTTTCAAACTTTTTATTATAAAATTTGAAAAAAGTTAGAAGTAATAAATAGAATAATTGTTATTATTTTTAAAATCACTGGAATTTAAACAAGAATTTAGTGTACTTTTAATAATTAATCATATAGGAATAATATTATAACACCTTTTATTTTTTCATTATAAACCTTAAAAAGTACATACATTATAATTATTATTATCATGTAAAACAATTTATACACTTTTTAAAAAATTTAAGAAAAAAGTACATAATCTTATATAACTTTTTGTTATAATCAAACTTTTTTACTTTTTAATAAGTTAAATAAAATATTGTAGTATTAAAAAACTACGCAAAAATAATTTAATATTTATTTTTATATATTTATAAAACTGAAGAACAGAATATAAAAGTAAATATAAACTGTTAAATAAGTTAAAAAAATAATAGTTATTTGATATTACTTTTAATAAAACAGAAGAAGTCTATATTAAATAAAGACATAACTTTAAAAGAAACTTTTTCTAAACTATTTTATATATAATATGCATAAAAAAGTTATTATTTATATATAAATATTGTATAACCAAACTTTTTGTACAATAAAAAATAAAAAGTATAGTTAACTTTTTTAATAAAAAATAAATAAAAAATATATTGATAGCAATTTTTATACAAATGAAAAATTATAGAGTAAATATTTAAAGAGTTTTTAAATATATAATAAATATAAAAGTACTATAATAGAAAACTTTCCTACAATCAAAAAAATAAAAAGAATTTTTTTTGTAATACATAAAAGTTTTTTATAATAACTTTTTATACATATAAAAAGAATTTTTACTTCGTATTTATTATTATAAAAAATTTACTTGGATGTAGTAATATTCATATATAAAGAAAAAGTTTATGTTAAATAATATAAGCAAGTTCTTTTATATACAAAAAATATAAGTAAAAAATCCTTTAAACCTCAACTAAAATATTATTTTTATAATATATTTTAATAAGAAATAAAAAAATAAATATAGCTAATATTTGTTTTATAAACTGTGCAATAATAATAATTAAAAAAAACTTTTTTATACATCAATAATGATAATGAAAATCTTTTAAACTTAATCTAGAAGTACTATATACCATTATATTTTATATAAAAGTATAATCTTTTTTTATTAGCATTTAAACAATAAATAAATATTAAAACAATCCAAAGAGCTATAAACATTATTATTAAAAATATATTTTTTCTAATATATAATAATAAATAGGAAATTAAATTATATAAAAATAGAAATACTTTTTTAAAAAATAATAATAACCATTTTCGATGTTTATATATTATAAGCAGTAAAATAATATAATACTGATAATATAAAGTATATTCTACAATAAAGTGAATACTATAGAAAAGTTAAAGTACTAGAAATGTACATTATTATAAACCCAACAGCGCCACAAACAAAGAAAAAAAACTGCAGCACGTGCACGAGTCAAACTTTTAATATCACATGTGCACTGCTCTTGAAGATTACGCCGCCTTATTAAAAATCTTAAAAAAAACTATACATAAAATATTTCGCTTCGATATTAAATATTTTTATATTCTTTATAAAAATATAATGAATAAAAATAAAAAACAAAAAGTAATAAAGATTAAAATATATTCTCAAAAATAATAGCAGTTGTTTAAACGAATAAAAAAAACTATAAATAAAAATTAACTTTTATTATTAATATTTAACTTTGGTAATTATTAACCTAAACTATAAAATAAATAAAAATATTACAAACTATAATATTTTCGTCAATAAAAATTTTAAAATATAATAAAAGTAATACAAAAATTTAAAAATAATAACAAATAAATAAATAGAAGTAATGAATTTTCGTACAATTATAAAGACTTTTTTAAGGTATAGATCACAAATATTACTAATAATTATAAATAAATATAACAAAAATACACAAAATGACTTGTAAAATGTAAAAGTACAGAAAAAAATATTTATATTAAATTTTTTACATATTTATAACTTTCTTATGCGTATAAATAACAACAATACTGCTACAATAAATAAATCATATAATAAATGTAAACAAAATAACTTTAAATATATAAAAAAATAAAAAACAAAAAATATATATTATGAAATATTATTAGAAATAATAAATATCTATAATAAAAGTAAACGTAAAAACTTGTAATATAAAAAATAAATAAAAATATTTTTTACAAAAAAACACTTTTTTAACATATATACAATATTTATTACCAAAAAAATAATAAATAGTAATAAAAGTAAGCATAACAACCTCATTGCAGGCTATTTTCAAGATGGCTGGATTCGCTAGAATAATAATTTTCGCTAATTCATAAGCAGGTGGATTCAGAATCTTTAATAATAATAATAATAATAAGTATTTACTATTTTTTTAATGCTGAACTCTAAAATTAATAATAATATAATAATTAATAAGCACAACTCGAAAATTTATAATAAAAAGAAAATATAAATATTAATAAGCACAACTTTAAATTTTATAATAATGTTAAGTAAATACAAATATAAATGTGCATGACTCTAAGATTTATAGTAATAATAAATAATAATAATAAAAATATTAATGTACATGACTCAAAAAATTTTAATAATAATAATAATGAAATTTAAATATTAATATGCACGACCTCAAAACATAATAATATTTAAATAAATATACATATGCAGGACTATATAAATATAATAGTACAGAAGTATATATAAATATTAGTATGCCTGACTCAAAAATATATTATAATAACAAAAAAGTTTATGTATAATAATAATAACTCTCACGAATAATACTTTTTATATAATAATAAGAAAATATAGATATATTATATAATAATAAGTAATATAAATTAATTCAAGCTGATTCTCAAACTAATAATAATGATAATAATAGAAAAGAGTTTCATAACCATAATATATTTTATAATAGTAACTCACACGAATAACTTCCTATAACATAATAAGCAAAGAAACATATACCAAATAATAATAAGTAAATATCAATGTAGTTATGCATGGCTTTCAAATATATAATTAAAAAATAATAGAATTTTTACGTAAACCAATATTTAATAATAAAGCAAAAAATATATATTTTTTAATAAGAATAAGTAAATATAATACTAACTATAATAAAAAGTTTGTATATTATGATAAAATTATAATTCATAGTAGCAACTCTTAAAATAACAACAAAAAAAATATGAATAGTAAAAAAATTATAGTAATACAAGTGCAACTTTTAATATACAATATAATATAATAAAGAGATGATGTTTCTATATATACATAAAACATTTTATATTATAGTAATAATAACAAAAAATTGTTAAGTTTTGATATATGAATAGTTTTCCTTGATAATATCTATGAATAATGAATAACGATCAACTAATAAATACGTTATAGTTTTATAAAAAATATCAAAATAATGATATAATGTACATTTATACTAAAAAGTTTACTTAATATAATAAAAAAGCATAACAAGTAGTAAAAAATAACAAAAATATGATATATTAATAATAAAAAAACACGTAAAAGCCTCAGACTCATATAATAAAATTCTAATAAAAATAAATTTTACATTATTATATTGATAAAAAATTAGTAAAACTTCTTAAAGTTATTACAATATAATAAATGAAGTTTATATTGTTTATTATAATAAGGATATCATATAAAATAATAAGTTTCATATAATAATATTATAATAAATAAACTTAATAACAATATAAATAATATTAGAAAGATTTTTAAAACTATACAAGATAATATATTTATTAAAAATTTTTATATTATAAAAAAAAATAATAATTATATTATAAAAAAAAAGTACACAATTAAAACTTTATATATTATAATATACTAATAGAAAAACTTTTTTTTATAAAATTATAACATTTTAATAGAATATTCCAAAAAATAATATATAATAGTGTTTTTATTTATTTTCTTTTTACATAAGTAACCTCACAATTATTAGAAATTTTATTAAAAATAGTTTCCGATATTTTAATATCGATAAACTCCATTTCCGAAAGCAAAGAAGTCATAATAAAAGCCATCAACTCAATAACGCGCCGCTCATGAAAAGGGCTAAAAAATATAAATGGTTATTATAATTTCTTTATAATGATAAAACTTTTTATTTATATTTAACATATATAATATGAGAAAAGTAAATGCTACGCAGAATAGAAAATTATATCAATATATATATAATATATAATAAGTATAAAACTATACAGATAATAAATAGTATAATTTTATAAATATTATTGATTTTAAGGAAGTAGTATAATATTGTAAGTTGACTTAAAAAAATTGTATAAATAGTAAAAAAAAATAATTTATGAATGTTTTAGTTATTAAGTTGTATAATTTATAAATAAAATAGTAAAAGTAAAAGTCATAATAATAAGTAAAAATATTTGTATATATTTATAGTAAATATAATATATTCTAGAATAAAAGTAATAATAATATTTGTATATTATTACAGTAAGAATAATAATAACAATATATATAAATTCTATAGAAAAAGTAATAATAATAATATTTGTAAATTTTTATAGTAAAAATAACAATAATAAATAACTTATATATATATTTTTATATTAAAAATAATGATAATAATACTATTTGTACATTACTATAGTAATAATAATAATAGTTTATATATATTTTTGCAATAAAAATAACCGTAATAATAATGTATATATATAAATATTGTAATAAAAGTAATAATACTTGTATGTTTTTTTAGTAAAAGTAATAACAATATTAGTTTGTCTATAAATTATCGTAAAAGCATTATTAATAATAATAACTGTATATTTTTTATTGTAAAAATAAAATAATCATAATTTATATATACAACAGAGTAAAAAGGATAATATAATAATATATTAACAACAATAATAATTATAGTAAAAATAATAATCATAATGATATTTAAATACCTTATAGTAAAAGTAATAATAATAACAAGTAAAAACTATATTAACATTAGTATATTATATTAGTAAACGTAAAAAAAAAATAAAGGTATATTTTCTTGCACGCAATATATATATATATTTAAAAAAATATAATAATGGTTAATATAATTTATAAATTATTATAACAATTATATATAACTAATAAAAAAAACTAAATAATTAAAAAATAAATTAAAAACTTTATAAATATAAATATATATATAACCAAAAAGGAGAAGGAATTGAAATAAATATGTAATAAATTTTAAAATAAAATAGAAAATAATATCTATAATATATTTAAAAACAAAGGAAAAACTACATCATAAAAGCAATAATAAAATAAACTTGTTAAAAAACTTAAAAAAACCCATAAATATAAATTTATGGGGGAAAAGCTATAGAACTAATAAAAAAGAGAAGCAAATAATAGTATAAATATAAAAATGTATAAAAATAAAATATACCTATAATAATTAGAAACAAAAAAAACTTAAGATAAACTTAATAAGAAACTATTAAAAACTATATAAAAGGTTTTTATTTTTTTTTTAATAAAAAAAAATTAAAAAATATAGAATGAAAAGAATAGTTGAATTTTAAAAGAAGAGGTCATAAACCTTTTAATTAAATTTTAAATATATTTTTTTAAAACTAATATAAAAAAAAAGAAAATAAATAATGTACAAAATATTTAAAATTGATATTATAATAAATTTATAAAAAAAACAAAACGTATAACTAAATATTATAAGAAAAAGTATAATAAACTTTCAGTTACCAAAAATAATTAAAATTTAAACGCAAATAAAAAGCAGAAAATAATAAATTTATAACAAAAAGTTGTATTACTTTAAAAAGTTTTAAAAATTAAAATTAATATTATACATAAAGTTATAAAAAGAAAAAGGGATATATTTTTATAGTAAACAAATAACGCATTTCATAAAAATTTATAAAAAAGCTTTAACAAAGTGTTATAGTGTATTTAAAAAATATAAAAAAATTCATAAAAGATATTTTAAAAAAATATGCAAAAATATTATATATAATACGTAAAAAGTTAAGTTATTTTAAAATAAAATTAAATACTTAAAAATATATAAAAATTTACTTATATATAAAAAGTTAGTAAGAAAATTAGCACGCATGACCCAAAAGGTTAGCTTAATTTCAGTGGCAGAAGTCCCCGACTATTTGCACGTTGCTTACAATTGTATCGACCAGGTTTGAACTAGTTTCCTCAAATTGGAAGTTTGATGTTTTACCACACTCTACAATAAAGATTAACTTTATAATCGCTTGGACCCCAGATAAGGCAGGCTACTTGCCTCTAGGATGACATTCATGCCAACCGTAGGGCCTAACAGCGTAAAGCAGAAGTTAATCTTTATTCTTTACTTTTTAGTTGTACTTCAAAAGAAAATTTAACTAGCTAACATTCTAGTCTGTTAGTTATTTATTTTGTTCTGCTAAAGTAGAACTATTTCCAAGGTTGCACAACCTACTTCCAAACCACCTTTTAACCGAGTAGGAATAAACTAGTATGGAGTTAAATCGAGTTACCTATCCTCGAGTTGGAGCATAGGCTCTTAATTTAATGGTAAAATACTATATTAAAAGCAAAGCAAAAATGTGAGTTCAAATCTACAAGAACCAAGACCGTAGAGTGTGTGGTAAAACATCAAACTTCCAATTTGAGGAAACTAGTTCAAACCTGGTCGATACAATTGTAAGCAACGTGCAAATAGTCGGGGACTTCTGCCACTGAAATTAAGCTAACCCCTACAGTTAAAGTTGTTATATAATATTAAGTAAATATTTAAAAATATATGCATAATTAAAATTTACTAATTTTAAATAATAAAAAGTAAAAAAAAATTAAAACTTATAATTATAGTTAAACTACTTATGGAACAATAAGAAAATATCTAAAAATATATGCATAATATTTCGTATGTAAAAAAATTAAAAAAACAGTAAAACTTAATAAATAAATTTAAAGTTATTATAGAATAAAAAGAAAATATCTAAAAAACATAATATTTTATATATAAAAAGTAAATAAAAAAATTTTGTGATACACAAAAATTAATTGTAATGATAATAATATTATAATAAGTATAAAAATAGAAGGCAACGCAATAGGTAAAAGTTAAGAAAAAACAACAAAATTTATAATTATTATTAATAAAACTTAAAAGCTGTAAAAAATTAAATAAAAGAATATAATTAAAAAATTTTAAACTTTATAAACAATAAACTAAAAAAAATATAATTTAAGTTTTATAAATATTTTAGTAATAAAAACTTAAAAGTAAACAAAT